CGATGACTTCCAATTTCATAGATCCAATTTAAAAAAAAAAAGTTTAGGATTTAATTTTTATTTTGGGTGCAATTTTATCAAAGATTAAAGGTTTCATTTTAAGTTCAGGGTTTAATTTTTTTCATTTTACAAAAGTTTGAGGGTCTAATTTTTACAATTGAAAGTTTAGGGGTGTAATTGCAACAAATATCCTATTTTATGGGTGATTTATGTCATTTGCCCTTCTTTTAGGTATGATTATTTGTGTGTGTAATTTACCCCATTGGATTTTAACGGATTATCTTGACTTATTCAAATTTATAATTCAAATCCATAAGAACTTTGAAAATAAAACTTTAGAGTGAAATACTTCTTCTATAATTAAGCACTTAGAAAGAGTATCAGGGTGTGTTTGAGAATATGGTACATCAATCAGTGATTTTGGAAAAAGAGATTTTAGTATAATTGATTTTTCAAAATCATCATCCAAGAAATGTCTTAAAAATCAATTTAAAGTGATTTTAAACTTTCTTACCATTAATTTTTTAATTTGTCAAACATGATCAATGGAGACGATGACAAAAGTGATTTGACCATGCTAGAATCACTCCCAAATACATCTTTATTAATAGTGTATTTGATATACCTTTTAAAGCATTTAAGAAGAATTAGGTGTTTTTCTTTTTCAATTTAAAATTTCAGACGAGTGTTTTTAAGTAAATTAAAAATAAAAGTAATTTGAGATATTCTAGAAAAGGTTTTAAAAAATAATTAAAATGCTATTAGATAAAGCATTTGATTAGTTTTCTTCTAAAAGTGTTTGCAATACTTAAAAAAAAAAACACTTTTTTCGAGAGCGGCTGATACTTGTTTTGAATTGTCCTAAGTAATTTTAAGTTTATTTAAAATGTTGAATAACTTTTAAATACAAAATTGAGTTTCTTGACAATTTTAACAAATATTTTTAAGGGAATAAAATCACTTTTTACCATCTCAGTTCAATATAAATTATAATTATAAGCTTTCCCTTTTGAAAAGATGTAATGTAACAAAGTCTTTTCTTCTTTCTTTACTCTTTTGTTTTTGGTTAGTGATGGACACATTGGTCAATGATTGCCTTTGAGAGAAATATTAAACCTTTTCCAAACTGACAAAACCAACACAATTCAAATTAAATTAAATATGAACATCCTAAGATGATGTGTTATTGGATTGTCTGGAACATTAGAAGAAGAAAAAAAGTAAAAAAAAAGCCAATGTAATAATGACACGTGTAGCATATAATGTGATATTAATTAGTTTGGTTGGAAGGCATCCATCATGAGAGTACTCAATTATAACTTATAAGCCTTTTAAGGATATTTTATAAGCTCTATCTGGTTTTGAATTTTTTTTATTCTCGAGAAGCGATATATCATGTGGCTTGCGCTAGTATATTTCTACTGTCGGGACTTGTTGCCTGATCAAGCAATATTATGATAAACACAGGATTCATGATACTTCGGATACATCATAGCCTTATGTTCTTGCCACTCTCTTTGTTTTGAATTTTAAAATAGTCGTAAGCTCTTTCAGCCTTTATATTGTTCATTTGAGATCTTATATCGTTAACAAGGATGGAATATGGTCAGGATAAATAATAATATTTGATTGTAAAAGGAAATTGTAGGATGATAATAATTAAGGTGGGTTGACCTAGAAATTGAAGACGAAATTTACTTGGCACTGGTTGCCAATTCCACAATCATCTCAAGAGAATGATGTAGTAACTAATTTCAATGCGAGAACCTCAACTAATTGAAATTTAATAAAATTTGTTGGTGTTCTTTTTTTTTTAAGTCAATCTTTTGACTCTTCTTAACTCGGAGTATTTCAAATTGGATGATGAGTGTGTTATGATTATAAAAGTTGAACATGCATTAGCTATAATTCTTTTGGACACGTAAATATATATGAGAGAACTAAAGAAACATACTAGGTACATCACCAAGATCTATCGATCAAATAGTCAACAAACACGTTTAGACCCATTCCTATAACATCGGACCATGAGTTTCATAAATTATTGTCAAAGTCTAAAATCAAGTGCAACCTATTCCAAATTTTGTAGTATTACACCCCAAAATTGATTTTCATGAATACAACATTCAACCAGACATATACGAAAGATCTTTGCTGATTCACGTACTAACACATGGTGAAAGAGATCAATTTGACCAAATAACTAGAGATCAATTTCTCAACATTTTGATTGAGAAAGAGAATCGACGATGAACGCACTTTTCTCATTCACTATGTGTTGCCCGGATCCAAACTCGCATGACCGAGGAGACGAGAGAATTGCGGGAAGTTTCTCCAACAATCTACATACATTTTAAAGTAAGTTTCAAGTGTTCAATCTATTTATGCAACATCGTGTGTCATGATCAATCACGTTTCAATCCAGCCAATTACTTCCTACTTGAACTCATAATTTTGTCATGCTTTCAACGTCTAATTTCTCTTGCTTGGTAATTTACTAAAATAGATCAATAATTTTAAAATATACCTTAATTCTGATAAATAAATACTTTAAAAATAACATTGAAATATTTATTTTTTAATATTGGATAACATGAGTGAACTTCCCACTTTTAGATAATGAACAAAGTGTTTTAATTATATTAATAATATAGTCTTATTCATCGAATGGGAACGATCAACATTTTAAAACTAAATACATAATTTAAAATAAGCTTCTGTACACTCTTGAAATTAAAGGGCGGAAAGCCAAACATCCCCACAAAGGCTGCAGGCTAATTATTTTGGGATATTAATTGTGACGATATCGACCATGATTGGGACCAAATAATTTAAAATAACAGTCAAAACGGGCCGTTGGAGGAGGCCACGTAATCATGAACACGACATCATAATGCAGTTTTTCTCCAAATTAATTAATCACTCAAATTTAATTATATGTATTTGGCAAGTAATTATGTCATTTACACCCAGACATGACTTTGATCCGATGACGTGACCCCTTCCCTTGGAGTTTAGTGCTCCCCAAAACACAGGCCATATTTTATTATTTAATATTTTGTTTTAAAGAAAACCACCCGATTTTCTATATTTTCTTTTTCTGTGGGCCCCGCTTTTATTTGTGGTTGGATTGTGCTTTTCTTCTTCCACCGAAGCTTGAATCTTTTATCTTCATATTTATTTTACTGTATTAAAAAGTAAAAATAAATAATACTAAATCGACATAGATAAAAATCAAAGCATATTTGTTTATTGTCCAATTCAATCGTAGGTCGGATTTTATTTATCTCCTCGTTTAAAATACACTATCATAATGATGTTAGAGATTTAAATATTTGACCCAATTTAATTAGTTTAACTATGTTAATATTTTCAAATTTTTGTCACGGAATGAAATATAATAGTATGTTTATGTTGTCTTTTTTTTTTCCTTCGATTATGCAATATATGATGTCAATAAATATTAATATCTTTATGTTTAGTATTTTTGCCCTCAAATAATTTGAAATAGAAATGGTGAGGTTTAAACCAAAGATGATGCAAATGTAATAGCATATAAAGGTAACAATAGTTATACCTTATTCATTGTCATTTATATTTTATGTTTTTCTAAGTAACCATTTACCAATTATTTGTTCTCATTTTCTTAATAAATAAGTAGAAAGAGAGATTCAAACTCATGACATATTGCTTAAATAGATGTTAACTACCGCTGAACTAGGTTCATGTCGATAATTATTTGTTCTTACATAACATACCTTTAAAAGTATTTTTTAAAAAAATGGTTTTGAGTGTTTAAACCAACTTACCTACCTCTTTACTAAATTTACCGTTTATCATTTAATCCGATAACATTTGATCATCAATAAAATTGTACTTTTATCAAAACTCTTGCTAAACTTGAATCCGACCACCAATGATTTTTTTCCTTATGTTTTAAGTGTAAAAAGTACCTAATTTATTAATTTTTTTTTGTTGTATAGTTTATAACAGCATTATTAAATAAACTCAATACTTTTTAAAACCAAACGGAAAAAAGTAAGAGAAATGTTAACATCAAATTCCGAATACATATTTTTTATCCACAATCTGAAGTAGTTTTCTCAACCACTCAAAGCCAAGTGGGAACCGCATTGATAAATATCATGGAAACAGTCAAAGCAAATCGTTGACACCAATATTGGACTTGCGTGCTGACGCGGCGCAATAAGAGGCAGATAAAAATAATAATTAAAAAAAAGAAGAAGAAAGAAAATCTTTTTTCTTTCCCTTTTTTCCCACTTTTCTTTTCCACTGTAAAAAAATGGAAAAAAAAAAGGAAAAGACAAGAAACAGAGAATAGACCGCGAGTTACGGAAGCGAAAACCGGCAAGGCCGGTTCAAATTCACGGGTTAAAAATACAACCACGTGGCTGCTTCCGAGCCCACACTTTTTTTTTTAAATCAAACGTAAATCCGGCTGTTCTATTATTCCCCACTCTGTCCGCCTGGACACACCTGCAGCCAATAGAAATCAAACTGGCTCATCAGTTTTACCATAATACCCTTCTTCTGCTTTCCTCCACATATATATATATATATTTTTTTTTTTTTTGAAAAATTACCATACAAATAATTTGCTAAATATATAACTCAATCCTAGCCTTTTTTAGTTTCCTTCCCACTCTATTAAAATAATAATGATGCTTGAATTTAATAACGTTAGTTTTTTTTTCACTAAGTTGATAGGTGTGAAGGGTGATAAGTTCGTTTTTCTATAAAAATAACTAGTGTTAGATATGATCATTAATGTAAATAATATCATACGGTATAAGTAACCTTTTCGATTTTATAAGTGAAAATGTCTATTTGTAAAATTAAAATATAAAGTATTTCAAATTTGATTACTAAAATAAATTACCTACCACATCGGTGTTTTTATTCATGATATTAGCGATGAAAATTGAAACTTTGAAAGATTTACGAAATTTATATCAATCATTTAAATCAAGACATTGTTTTATTAACCAAAATCGGAGTTGAAACCTATAGTATTACTATATCAATCATTTTCAATTAAATTATCCTATTGGAACTATTATTGAATGATGGAAAATGATACAACACTTCTTTCGATATAATACATGGTGATTTTTGTATATATGTATTTAAAAAGAGGTTTTTATTAGCACAATATGTAGGGATGGATGATTGAACTGACAATCTATTGATTGAATATATATGTCAATTATTCGTTAGCTATACTAGCTTCAACATTTAAAAAGAGGATCGAAAATACAAATTTACTCGTAATTGAATAAAGTTAGTTAAGTTAATGGCGTAATTAAAATGGAAAATCTGAAGTAAAGGATATATCGGTCAATTCCACTCATTTATTACAGATCTGCTAACCCACAAACCAGATGGTCGGCAAGGCAACTGTCGGCCTGTGAACAAAGGGAGACACAGTGGAGGAAATTTTCGTCCCGCTCTCTCTCTTTTTTMTTTTTATTTTTATTTTTCTGTTTTATTAATTTTTTTTGGGGAACAAAAATTTTGTACATTTCTTAAGGGCACCCAACTTTTTAAATAATTRAGATTAAAAGAAAAAGGCAGTTTCATAAATAAAAGCCCCGCTCTGACACATGTTTATTAATTATTTTTTAGCATCGATTGCTTCGCATTTCTTTCTTACAAAAATATTCCATCTTTATTTATCTTATTAAATTTGARTTCCATTTTTGTCCATGAATTTGTAGGCTCATATTTTGGCTCTGAACACTGAAAATACCATTTTTTCCCTCAAATTTTAGAAACAACTACTTTAATACCCCCAACTTCTTTTAGGTTCAATTGTAGTCTCCAACTTTAAAAGCGTTATTGTTTTTAGTTATCGTAGATATATATATTCCAAAGAACAACGAAATAATTGTTGCATTAAACTTAAAAAATAATAGTTTGAATGTATCCCTAGCCAACATGATTATTTAAAAAGAATATTGCAAATATGATTTAAATTAAAATATTATAAATTAAATTATAAGTTGGATTTCTAAATTTCTGAATTTTTAATGTTGYGTCTAATATATTTTCGGATTTAAAAATGGTTCCAGTAATAGTAGCATAATAAATTGTCAATTTTTTTTCCCTCAAAATCTAAGATATTTATTAGACCCAAAAATTGAAAATTCAAAACATGAAGCTAATTAGATACAAAATAGAGAATTTAGCGACAAATTAAATACATTTTAAAGAAAGTTGATATATTAGACGAGAATTTAAACTTGTAATTAAATGACTTTTTGAAAATGATTATTTTATAACTTTGTTTTAATATTGGGAAGTAAAAGGCAGGCAGAAATCCGGTTTTCGTCTCTGGGTTCCGAGAAATGTGGTTACCTATTTTAAACATAAAAAAGTTATTTTGGCTGTGGGAGGGGAGGAAGAGGGGATTAATGGAACCAAAATGTGCCGATCATAGGGAGCGTTTGATTCTGTTTGTTTCCTGAGAAACTTGTGATAATACTATTTTATGAAGCCTCCTTGGCTGGTTCTGTTTTTTCTGGTACGTTTTTTCGGTTTCAAATCTTGTTTTCTCTGCTACGCACGCGGATTTTCCCATTCGATTCTTGATTGTTTTTCTTTTCTTCCTTTTGATCGTTCCAGTTGATTCAATTCATTTGCGGAAGAGTTGAGACTCATCGTTTGCTTGCTTGCTTATTGGTTTATGTAATCGAGGCTTTGATTTTTCTGCTTCTTCCTTATTTGGAATGCTTTTAACTGATGGTTGTTGTTTCGGCCAAGATCCAAGCTGAGGAAGTCGTTTTCGCGATTCTTGTATGGAGATATTCTTTTGCGATTCTCATACTTTTTACTGTTCGACAATACGTATCTGTCTCTGTGGATTGGATACCGTCTTCGGACCTTCAATTCGAGCTAATTGAAGATATGTCTAAATCAAAATCTATGATGTCTATCGTGGTCTCGACTTGTTATTAATTGATGTTTCCCTCTCAAATTTTGTCTCCTTTGGAGTTTGATAAAATGTCTAAATCAGTCAGCGTTTCCCTAATTATTCATCGTGAGCTATTTTCTATTCAGAAATGGGTAATTGAATGGCTCTGTATGCTGCGCCTTTCTAATTCTTTCCACTCTTTCTTCAGACTAATGTTCTGTAAACCTCGTTCTCACACCTTAGCTTGCCACCGCGTGTTCTAGAATATTGTTTAAAAAAAAAAAAAGAAAAGAAATTTGACGTGTAGCACATTTTTAAGCGCTTCCCGGAAGGAATTGCTTGCAGCTATCACTCCGACCTCAATTGATGCAATGGAGAGTTGGATTTATGGTCTTTTTATTTCTATCTTTCTAAGTATTCTTTTGTTGCGTCTCTATTTTCAATTGTTAGAATGGTTTCGGTTGACTCATAGACTCTCTAATTTGTTTGAGAAATAAAATAAAAGGAGGATTTTGTTAGCTAAATCTACAATGTTGTGCTTTTATTATCATTTTTCTTTTGTGTCTGTTCTCTGTAGAGAATTTCATCCTGCCTTGGTTAAAATTGTTTTATAATTATCTTGCAATGCAGATGACATAAACTTTCGGTATAACATTTAACGGTGAGCTTGAACCATGGATATTATTGACGTTGAAGAAAATCTATTTGCTGCGAGTGATGCTAAGGTATGCAGAATGGTCTAAACTTTAAGATCGTATTTTGTTCAAGAGTATTTCTTGAATGTTTCATTCGGAAGATAAAATTAGTAAATAAGTTGATGGTTTTTTTTTTTCATTACCCTTCCCCCATGGTATTTTACTTCTGAAAAGGTTTGCCTCCTTTTTTAAAGCTACTTTTAAATGCTCGAAACCCGCCCACGTTCTGACTGGCATGATTTTATCTTCTGTTGGGTTTTCATAAAATCATCTATATAGTTTTGTTAATATATGGTGGTGTGTGGGGTTTCACAATCGGGGAATATTTAACTGAAATATTGAACAACTACTGTAGATCGGTTGGCTGAATTTGGTTTCGGTTGAATACATAGTTACATGTATCATTTGTTGGATGTGTTGGGTTCAAGATTACCTGAAATTTCTTGCACCATTTTCTACATTGACTACAAATTCCATCTTTAAGAAGCGTGTGGCAGGATAACTTGGGAAAAAGTCCAGTATATTGTATAATGAATTTTCAAGTTGTTCAATAAGAACTGCCTTTCGAAGACCTTATTTATTTTGGCTTGGTCTTATTAAAAGTTAATACTTCAAGCAATATTTTGATTATACAGCTTGATAAATAATCTAGTTTTGTCCATTATTGCAGCTACATGGAGGAATGTGCAAGACTCTTTCTGCATTATATTGTAAAGTACTATCAATTTTCCCTTCATTGGAAGCTGCACGACCTCGGAGCAAATCTGGTATTCAGGCATTATGTTCATTGCATGTAGCACTTGAAAAAGCCAAGAATATTCTTCAACATTGTTCAGAGAGCAGCAAACTTTACTTGGTACAATGATTGTATCCCTTAAATTTTCCTATTCAAGATGGCTGGCTTTCTGGTTCTTTAGAACAACTAATGTCATACAGAAGCCCCAACTTTCTGCCTTATTGATGATAAAGTCGTTATGGAGCCTTTCTGTTACTACTAATTCTTAACCTTAAAATTGTAGTTCTTAACATACTTTTTGCATGTTGTAGGCTATAACTGGGGACTCTGTCCTGTCAAAATTTGAGAAGGTAAAATGTGCTCTAAAAGAYAGTCTTAAACGTGTTGAAGATATTGTTCCTCAGTCAATTGGCTACCAGGTAACCGAACATAACATGGAGTCTTTCTTAGTAATCTCATTAGGAAATAATCTTGCTTGAATATTGTGCTTTGTTGACGTCCTTACAATTTATGTGTCAGATCCAGGAGATTATGAAGGAACTGGAGAGTACGCAATTTTTCCTAGATCCTATGGAGAAGCAAGTTGGTGATGATATTATTCAATTACTCCAACAGGGACGAACATTCAGCAATACTGTTGACACCAATGAGCTTGAGTCTTTTCACCAAGCTGCTATTAGACTTGGAATAAACTCCTCAAGAGCAGCTCTTGCAGAGAGAAGAGCACTAAAGAAACTAATAGACCGGTCTCGCACTGAAGATGACAAGAGGAAGGAGTCAATTGTAGCATATCTTTTTCATCTCATGAGGAAGTACTCCAAGTTATTTAGAAGCGAGATACCAGAGGACAATGATTCACCGGGTTCTGGACCTTGTTCACCCACTGTTCAGAGCTCTCTCGAGGACAGTGGACCTGGTGAAAATGGTCAAGCCTTTGAAAGGCAGCTGACAAAGGTTGGTTCCTTTACTTTCAAACCAAAAAATCGCAGATTGGAGCAGATTCCCCTTCCGCCTGATGAGTTGAGGTGTCCTATATCACTGCAGCTAATGTATGATCCAGTCATAATTGCTTCCGGGCAAACATATGAAAGGCTTTGCATTGAGAAGTGGTTAAGTGATGGCCATAACACCTGCCCAAAAACTCAACAGAAACTCTCTCATCTTTCGTTGACACCTAATTACTGTGTTAAGGGTCTGATTGCTAACTGGTGTGATCAGCATGGCGTTCCTGTTCCTGATGGGCCCCCAGATAGTCTTGACCTCAATTACTGGAGGCTTGTGTTATCTGAATCAGAGTCTCTAAATTTGCCATCTATGGACACTGTTGGTTCTTGCAAGTTGAAAGATGTTAAAGTCGTTCCATTAGAAGAAAATGGTACAACTGAGGAGATTGAAGAAAATGAAGTGGTGGATGATAACTCTGCTGAAGAACCAGAGCCTGATATAAATATGCTTACTAGATACGAACAATATTTGAAACTTTTGAATGAAGAAGTTGGCTTGAGAAGAAAGTCAACTGTGGTGGAGCAAATAAGGCTGTTACTGAAGGATGATGAAGAGGCGAGAATTTTTATGGGAGCTAATGGATTTGTCCAGGGACTTCTACATTACTTAGAGACAGCTGTGAAAGAACAAAATGCCAAGGCTCAGGAAAGTGGAGCAATGGCTCTTTTCAACCTTGCTGTCAACAACGATAGGTCTGTAGCCTTGCTAATCCTTTTGCCTCAATTATGTGACTAATGTCAATTATTCATTGCTATATATTACACACAGCATATCAATAGTTTCTAAACTATGATTTTCACTTGTGCTTCTATTATTTGGTAATAGTTACCATTACTTTTGGAGCAGTGCCAATTCTTAATTAAGCTATGTAAACTATCGAAAATCGTGCAGTCAATAACCAAAAACGTTCCTCGATTTAGAAAATGTGTAAAACTAGACATTTTAAACATCATTAACCAGCATTAATTTGTAGGTAAGGAAAAGGATGAGACATGGAAATGCTTCAGATTGTTGTTGGTCTTTAACTGTTCAGTGTAATTTAGCTTGGTCGTGTACTTTTCTTTTACTTCCATTATTGCTATTCAACAAAGGGATATTATCTTTTAGGGCGAAAAGTTGAAAAAAGTTCCTTTTATTAGCTTGATAAAAGTATTGCTAATTATTGAAGCTGAATCCTCTATGTATCTTTGTTTCCATATGCATTCCTTTCGATCTAAAATTATATTGTGTAGTATATATATGATGTCTGAAGGTATATTTTCTCAGGAACAAGGAATTGATGCTGGCAGAAGGAATGATTTCATTGTTGGAGGAAATGATTATGAACCCAAATTCCCATGGATATGCAACCGCCCTCTATCTCAACGTTTCCTGCCTGGAGGAAGCGAAAACTATTATCGGCTCGAGTTGTGCGGTCCCATTCTTGACACAACTTCTCCATGCTAATACCGAAACACTGTGCAAGCTTGATGCCCTTCACACTCTCTACAATCTGTCGACCGTGCCCTCTAACATTCCCAACCTGCTTTCTTCTGGAATCATCAGGGGTCTTCAATCTGTTCTTGCAGCCCCTCGTGATCGAACATGGACTGAAAAGTGCATAGCGATCTTGATAAATTTGGCTTCAAGTGAATCTGGTAGCGATCAAATGTCATCTACTCCAGAACTTATCAGTGCGTTGGCAACAATATTAGACAATGGTGAACCCATTGAGCAGGAACAAGCAGTGTCATGTCTCTTGATTCTGTGCAATGGGAATGAGAAGTGCAGCGAGATGGTCCTACAGGAAGGCGTAATTCCCGGGTTGGTGTCGATGTCTGTGAACGGCACAGCAAGAGGCAAGGAGAAGGCTCAAAAGCTACTGATGTTGTTCAGGGAGCAACGACAACGGGAGCCACCAACACCGACCCCGACATTGACAGACCAGCCGGAGAGTAGCGGGACATCAATGCCTGGGGCAGAATCAAAGCCACTGTGCAAGTCAATTTCAAGAAGGAAAACGGGAAAAGCTTTTAGCTTTTTATGGAAAAGCAAAAGCTATTCAGTGTACCAATGCTGAAGAAAAAGGTTCATTGGTGTTGTAAATTTTTCTTTTTCATTTTTCATTTTTCATTTTTCATTTTTTTTGGGGGGGTTTTCGTTTATTCTGAAGATGAGATGTACAGGCCACCTGTAATTAAATCATGGAGTTTTGGCTTCGAATTCCCTGTTTCGTTTCTGATAGAATACATGATGGACCACCGCCAAACCGTGTTCCTTCCTTCATAACTGAGGGGGAACCAATCTTTGTACTCTCAGACCAGAAGAAAAAAAAAAAAATCAGTCCAAAATCAAAAAATGTGGACGAAATACCAAAACATGGAGGGATAGAATTACAGGTTTTTCAATTATTTTTAACTGGTCTAGGTTTAAAAGATGGGTTGGAAGGAGATTCTGAATCAATTTTTTGAAAATTTGAAATCATGAATATATGATAACTCAATAATGGCTATTTTGGAGCAGCCTTTCAATTTCAACAATAAAAATAAAAAATAAAAACAAAATTCTTTTTTATCCTTGAACTTGGATATAGGAGTTGTTAATGCAGGATTTTTGCACATGTTAGCTAGCAACTGATTTGAAGACGTGGGCTAGCAAGCTACAAACATAACCTTGTGTAGTGCTTTGTTAGGTACATTTCAAAACTTAGTTAAATTTAATTTGAGCTGGTATTTACCCGAGCTTCGTTAAAGGAAATGAGATTGTATACCTCATAGGTGGGACTTTGCTTTCTAGAGGAAGAGCATTGAAAAATGTTGTTCTACGATTACGGCATGTCCGTCCTTATTGCTTAAGAGATCTTCTACCGGATATCAATGAATCCTCTGCCACTAGAGGTGAGACATTTTATGGAAAAATCTTCTAGTTCATTGGAGTTAATTATTATTCTGAACTTTTTATTTGAAAGACAATTTTATTCAATTATACCTTAAATTTAGAAGTTTTTACTTTTGGGAGACTTTATTTCGKAGAGAATGGKAGGCTATGTTTTTTGAATTAAGCTAGGATTAATAAATTAAATTTAAACTTAAATTTCGATAAGCCCGTCTAGCTCAGTTGGTAGAGCGCAAGGCTCTTAACCTTGTGGTCGTGGGTTCGARCCCCACGGTGGGCGTTTTTAYYCTTTTCCTCCCATTTTTATTAGATTTACTGGAAAATTAGAAGGAAATTGTTAGAAAATAATAAATCAAAGCTTCATTTATTGGATGCTTCTTAGTTCTTGCAAATGAAAAAAGTCACTGTCAACACCATCATTAAGCCGCTGATTACTTTTTCGAGCTCTGTCCAAATTAAAAATTGGTAAATATTTCAAAAAAAAAAAAAAAAACACCAATGATCACTAATCCTTATTCTCAATGATGGGTTAACAAAAGAAATAAGTTTAAATCCATTACGATTCAAACTCTTTTTAAATTGTGTAAAGTTAAACAAACCCCAAACAATTTCATTTCTACAGCATCAGGATTCTTCTATATACAAAATATACAACTTTCAAAACCCAGTTTTGCAAAAAATCACCAACAAGAATTTGCCAAATTCTGTCAATTATCTCATACATATGAAGCTGAACGTGGCAGCAAGTTTCCTTTCCCCTTTCCTGTTGGTTTCATGAGCCAAGCAGTCTCGAACAGTTCCAAAATGTCATCCTTTTTCTCCATTCTTCCTTTTTTTCCCTCTTCTTTTCCGTAATCCATTGCCTCTTCTTCTTCCTTCTCATCTTCCCCTTCTGATTTCTCTTTGTTGCTGTGATCTGCAATTTCTCCATTTCCTTCAGCTTTTCCCACAGATGCTTCCATTTTGGAACTCTCTTTTATTCCCTTCTCCACTTTCTTCTCATCGTTTTTGCAGTCTGCTTTATCTCCCACTGCTTCTTTTCTTCCCTCTTCCATGGCTTTTTTGTAAGTGCCCTTCTCATTTTCTTTGCAATCTTCATCATATTCCACCCCTTTTTTCTGAACTTCTTTATAACTAGTGTTCTTTGTGGTGTCGGATTTCATTTTCTCATCCATGTCAGCTGATTCAGATGCATTGCGTCCCTCRTTACAGTTCATATCGACCAAAATTTCCTTCTCTCTGATACCATCTTTTACCCAGTTCATAAGTATGGCTATCATGAACTTGAGCAATGATATGGCGTGAATCACTGCCCAATCCAGAAGCGGAACCTGGTTGAAACAGGGGAGCTTGTCAACAGCATCATCAAATTTTACTGGCAAAGTTTCAATCAGAAGAAGAAGGTCGTCAATCTTATCAAAAACAAGTTTGGATGGAGGAAAGATMTTCTCCACAATGTTTGCAGTTGCAAGAAAACCATCATCAATGAAGGTGAGGACCAGTACGAACTGATAGTGCAGGGCAAAAATCAAAGGGTTCATTATATTGGCTAGCCGGATCATCTTTCTTGTGGTTGAACCCAGCCGTCCATCAAGAACCTGGGCTCTTGAGATGGCGCTGTGGGCTATGGCCACAAATGAAACTCCACAGGTCTGCAGTGGACATCGTCTAGAACTCATCCTGTAGATTAAAGATAACACACACAAAAAATTTGCGCATGATCAATGAGAATGAACACTAAACAGAAAGGAAACGTAATCGGGAAAGCAAATATGAAGATAACTCTCATATTTTCTTATCATCAATTCATCAACCAGTCAGTTTTTGATAATTGTTATAATGAAACTGTACATCTGAAAACGCCTTGTTTGATATTTCCAGAAAAGGTACCAAGAAAATGTTTCACAAAAGAGAACAAACGTTCTGGTTCAATGCTCGTAAAAAGAATCGTCGAATAGGATGACTCCTTAGATAAGCCCCAAAAATACTAGCTATCAGAAGTAAACAACACAAAACAAAACAAAAGAAATATGTCGCAATAAACAGAACCTATGCTCGTAGAGTTAAGTATCAGAGAATTATCACATAGATGAAAAATTTCATCGATTCAGTCACAAAACGGAACCTGTTTGAATGCTCGTAGAAAAAAGTATCACAGAATTATCGTATAGATGGAAAATTTCATCGATTCAGTCACAAAAACGGAACCTCTTTGAATGCTAGTAGAAAAAAGTATCAGAGAATTATCACACATAGGTGGAAAATTTCATCGATTCAGTCAAAATTGGATTGTTCTCTTCATTACTTCAAAAAATCGAAGAACAAGAACAGGATTCATGTTTGAAGTAGCAGATTCATACCTTTGACTATCGAAAAGCTTCGCGGAAACCCCCAATCACCTCGAAAATCTCCAAGAGTAAACGGCAACAAAAGACCGACCGATCAACGGTTTCTCGGAATCAGAAACTCCAATTCACAATGGATTCATATGCTCACCGTAAAAAAAACTGTATAATGGCGGAAGAAATTCCTTCGCCACGCGCCAACGGAGGATAATTCAACGGTTGGAAATGCGGGTTCCTGTTTCGCGAATTCACAACCAGTAACTCCAAGAAACCCTTATGGTGCAGTGAGTGTTCCTCTCTCTCTCCTCTCTCTCGTGCAATTTGTGGCTAATTTTGAACAACTTATAATATAAAAAATTTAAAATCTGAACATCTGAAATTACTTTACATCTTAAGAAGTTGAGCGATTGGAAAATATTATTTAGAAGTGAGCCAATCTGAAAATTAAATTTGTTCAATTATTTGCAAATTTCTGTATGCTTTTTTTTTWAAAAAAAAAGAATAAATTTATT